GGGAGAACAGGCGAGACAGAAACTTGTGCAGACTCGGGCCCTCGGCAGACCTCGAAACAGCCTTACATAAGCCGTCGACTGAGTGGCTTTGCTACCTTGAAGTCGGTCGTTGCCGCTGCCTTCGTCCCCTGCAATCGTTTTGCCGCGCGCCGAGCCGAGCCGCGCCGAGCCAAGCCGCGCGCTGCACCGCGTATGCACCGCGTATGCATCGAACGTTCTTTACAGCCGACCGGCAATCAAGACTAGCGACGCGCGGACGGGGAACGGAGGAGACAACGGAACGGATAGATTTCAGTATCAACGTGGGAATGCCTGTGCATGGTATCGATCGATCGTTCGTTTGCTCGCACGGCCGACAATAAATTGTTGATTCGCGGCCAGGCCTCCGATACGTCGTTAGCAAGACGTTCCTCCGCGATCTGCGTATTATTGTTGCCATTATGCCCCCTCCGATCGCGCGAACATGCTAATCAGCCGATTTCTCGCCGACCGTGCACTCCTCGTTCTGCGATCGCGCGTAGTCCTGCATCGAAACTTTCGATTTCGATCGTTTTTAACACGAGAGAATTTCGTTCTTGCGCGCGACCGAGAGAATTCTTTTATTAATATTATTGATTTTATCGATTTTATCAAACTTGAGAACTAGTTTTCGTTACAATCTATTAACCCCTTTGCACTCGAGCGGTGACTCTGAGGCACCACTGAAATTGTTATATCATGTTCAAAGATGATTTTTATACCAACAAGATTCAGATTTAAAAAATTGTTAAAAGCGTAACTGTTGTACGAGCCACCGCAAGACTCAAATTTCATATGCATAAAATGCACTTTGTCGTGTAAAATGGAAATACTATAAGTCAGAAGAATTATTTCAAATGGACAGTTAAAATAGCTTCGAGTGCAAAGGGTTAAGTATGCCGAACTTTGTACAGCGTCTACGAGATGCAACGGAGTTAGAAGAGAAATTGCTGTAACAAATTTTGTCTGCTCTATTGTTGTATCGTTGAGTTAAGTTCTGATTGTTTGTCTTTCGGAGACACTGACGTGTGATAGTTACAGTGTTAAAAGCATTGCTAATTTAAGAATGTTGACGGCGCTTTTTACGCTTTTACGCCGTCTGAGCCGGGACTGGCGTCATTTAAAACGATATTATTTGAATTATTATTTTAATAACATGTTATACTGTTTCGAAACTATTTTAGAATTATTTTAGATTTATTCGAAAGAATTATTTCAGAGAACTATTTGGAAGAACGATTTGAAAGAATTATTTGAATGAATTATTTGAAAGAAGATTATCCTCACTGATATTTCTGCGATATCGCCGATCTGACAACATTAATTTCACGTTAATTATCCGACAATACACTTTCATATTCGATCTATCCAGACAAAAATCTCTCAATTGTTCAAAACAAATTGCTACAACGATTCCTTCGATCGAAATCTTTTTGTATTTGAAAAACGACGAGTGTGACATCGACTCGAAATCGAAGGATGGCTCGGATGGATCGACTTCCCGCAGAAATAACCGAACCAAAAATATTCGTCCGGATGCCTGGGCGGATGCAAAACAGTATCGGGCACGTAGCAGCGTGTGCTCGGATCGAATCAGTTTCGAGAAGCCATCTGGGCTGTCTAACGCGTTTTGTGCGCCTCCCGGGAGAGACGCGGCCCGCATTTCCCGCGATGCGATCTCCACGGACGCGGCGTCTCCCGAATGGAACTGTCTGCCGAACTGTACGGAGATCGATGAGATATTCGGATCTCATCGGCACCAAGGATGCTGTCGGAAGCAGCTACGTTCCGAAGCCGACGACTTCCTCCTCCATCCAGGATATTGTCGCGGCGTCGTAGAATCTCGAAATTCGTCGGACGATTTTCCGTCTGCGGAGCCGCGGATTCGAGTTGGCACGCGTTGGAGACGTCGTTGGCGGTCTCCCGCGAACTTTCCTTTCGCCTTTGCAACCCGCAGGGGAAGTTGTTGCAGCCGAGAATCGAGAATCCGGCTCGGTTGGAACGTCGAACAGCGCACAATGTTGCCGTGGAACTCGTTTCGCGCGAGTTCGCGACAGGCTGTATAATAATGTCTCTCTAATTGACGCACAAAAATGGACAATTTGGGAAGAGGCGGTACGACTATTCGAGCCTTGCGGTTTATTTTTATAGTTATAAATTGTTCATTATTATAAAAGCGAACCGCAAGGCTCGAATAATCGTATCTCCTCTTCCCAAATTATCCATTTTAGTGGACTGTAAGGGAGGCAATCCGAGCGTCAGTAAGGGGGACATTACTGTATTATGTTTGGTATCGCAATTAGCTATCGATCGTAGCTACTCTCGCTTCTTATGGTATTAATTAGGCTCTATTAATATAAATCAACGTTTATATTTCTCGCGTTCTCGACCCGCGACGTCTGAGATCGCATTTCTCGAACAGCGAGAATTTTTAATTCTACTGTCGCCGGAGTTCTTAATTCTACTTTTTACACTTCTCCACGTGAACGCAGATGTTCTGCTCGTTCCTTACGTAGCCCTCCTTGCATCTGCAGTCCGACTTCAGCGGGTTGCATTCCTGCAACGAGTTTAAATCTCGGAATAGTGTGCTAATTTCGTTGCGGGAACATTTTTGTTCCTGCTTCGGCGGGAATGAAATCAGAGCAGGTACTCTCTTTCTGCGCATAAATTCTGCTTACCATTTCGGGACAAGTTTTCTCTGTCGGTACCGGAACCTTGCAGGTCGGCTCGCATCTCTTCCCGCACCACGTCCACATTTCGTTCTGAGGACACCTTTCCCTGATCGATGAAGCTTCTACCTCTGCCACTGTGCAACGGAAAACATTCATTAGCAATTTCAACGATTAAATAGTCGACGTGAAATCGAAGTCATTTGTTTAGTGATAATGGTGTTTTTTGATACATGGTATCGGGGGAAAATCCCTTCGTTACGTACACTTGAAGAAAATTTACAGTAGGAAACAATAGGAAGAAAGAAAGAATATAGTATAAATATTATATGTAATATTAAATATTTATAGTATAAATATAAAATATAAAAGAAATGAAAATATAACAATGATAATGAGAATATAACTTAATCCTTTGCACTCGAGACTATTTTAATTAATAAAAGAATATAGTATAAATATTATATGTAATATTAAATATTTATGGCATAAATATATAATATAAAAGAAATGAAAATATAACAATGATAATGAGAATATAACTTAACCCTTTGCACTCGAGACTATTTTAATTCCAAAATGAAGACATTTGTTTCGACCTGCAGTATTTCCATTTGGTATGATTATTTTTATTTGGTACATATGAAATTGAACGAGTATGTTTTATAAATGACTTCTATTTTTTTAACAATTTATCGAATACAGATAAATTTAATAATGTGAACATTCTTTTGAAAATAGTGTAGCAATTTTTAGCATCGCTTCAGAATCGCCACTCGAGTGCAAAGGGTTAAATGGCAACGAAAGAGGAAAACGAACAACAACAATAATTAATAATAATAATAATAATAAAAAGAACCGAGAGAAGGTTACATTATTTAGTTATAAATTTGATGCACCAATCTCGGTGCAGCTAACACTCAGACGGCGGATAAGTATCGTTATTCGAGTATGTGCACTATCCGTCAATTGATTAGAATTTGTACACGCCTCGTCGGTGTCCGCAGCACGAAGAACAATACCTCGACGAACGTGTATAAATAATTCATAAATAAATGTCTGAATGATCCCCCGTGCACAGGTGGTTGTTACATATTATCGTCGAAAGACTTCGATCGTTAGCGTATCGGCAGAAAAATGAATTCTCAAGGCAAATGAGTCACGTTCAAATTGAATCTCGAATAAAAACTTACGGGCAGCGAGCAGCAGCATGGCAAGAAGCACGATACCAACGGCGCAGCGAGCCATCGTAAATCATTCGATCCTGTCGTTATTATTGACTCCGCGGAGATGCATGAGAGGCCGCTCCACCGACACGCTTTTATACCCGCTTCTTCGTGCAAATATTGCTGGCTGATTAATGCAAAAGCTGCGCAAACACGTCGCGGAAAGGTTTCGTACGCCGCTGTAACGCGGCGCCAATGACCCCCGTCACGACTCGTTATCCTTCTGTCACCAATGATTTAAACAGTCCGAGATGAACTTTCGTATGTCCGTTCCTTGCGATAATCCACGTTGTACAAAATCGAACCGATCGGAATTCTTTCTACTGCCGATTCTTGCAGTCGATGATATCGATGCACACTTTATTCTCGTCCCGAACGAAACCCGGCTTGCACCTGCAGTCGCCCGTCGTATCCGTGCAGTTCTGCAACAGATTTAGTGCCGTGAAAGTAATTAGCAGCGTTCGCGGTCAGGGTTTAATTAAAGTTTTAACAGCTGAGCTGTCTAATTTCGCGTCCTCGGAACGGACGCGATTCCACTTTCGTGGACTTACGAAGTCCGGGCAGATCGTCCAACCGGGTTGCAGAACTCCGCAATCAGGCTCGCAGACCTTTCCGCACCAGGACCAAACCTCGTCCTTGGGACACTCTTTCGGCGGCTTCGGGGTGGTGTGCTTTTTCGCGGCTGCAACATTTGTTGTGTTGTTTCTTTTTCGTCGTCGGATTTTTCAGCAAGGAGCACCGCGTCGTCGCGCGCATCGGAACGATATTGTTTATGGAAATTGCGACTCACCAGCAGCGACCAGGACGATAAGCAGTATCGGAAGAACGATGTTTCGAAGCATGACGAATTTTCCCGAGGCTTGGGCGCTATCTGCGAACGCGTACTCTTAACGAGCGTTTCCAAGTTGCCGGTTTTTATACTTCTGGTTTTCATGGAAATTCCCGCGACGTCTGTGTTTCTTCGGCCGGAGATAACGACCGGCTTCGAGATAACGCGGCTAATTAATGCAAAGGCTGCGCAAATAGTTCCCAGGGAATTAGCATTCGTCGTGAAGCCAGCGCGAGGAATCATTTTTGCGACGGCTACGGTGATTCGTTCATGCTCGCGCGAACTCCGGCGTTCATGCTCGGTCCTTAAATCGCGACGTTTAACTTGACGCTAGATTTCAAGATGCATTTACGAGCTAATCAGTCGATTTATATGATACCTACGGCAAATGTTACAATAACACTTGTTAAAGTCAGAATAAATATTGTCACTTTCATGAACTAACATAAAACAGCTGTTTTTCGTGCTCCGTAAATCTAGCATTGAAACAGCAATTTCGCGTGATTACGATAGAAAGAAAGTCGAACAATTCTGCTTCTAAATGCTGTTTATTAGTTTCGTGTACATTGCTACATATTTATAATAGAATCGAGGGAATCGATCACTTCTTCTCGAAACTCTCCGGGCATTGGTTCGGTCTGACGCACGCACCCTGGTCGTTTCGAAGCCAGCCAGATAGACAGCGACATCCAGCTATGTATTTCGAACATTGCTGAAAGATAAGGTTTCGCTGGGTGTCTTTGCTTTGCGTCTTCTGAATGCAACGTGATTAGGAGGTCCCAGATTTTAAGAACTTACGAGAGGCGGACAGTACGGGTGACGGCTCGAACAGCTTGGTTCGCATAATCTGCCACAGATATCCCATTTTTCGTTCACTCCACACAGCGGAGATCCCTCTATGATGGTGCTGCTGCTGTCATCGAGACTCTCCACGCTTGCAATTTGCGCTAGAATTGCAACGTTAAATCACTTTCGTTCATTTTTGTTCTGGGAAATTATTACGAAAGAACGCGTGCGAATGAGCAGCTATTTTGAGTCGATGATTAGCATCACAGTGACAGAAGTTACATTTTCGAAAATTTTGATCTTTGTCTTAAAATATAATTTGTGCACGTCAAAATGTTAAAGTGACGAGTGGAACAAATTATAAAGTCGCTGTAAATCAACTTCAGCATAAATGATCGAGACAATGAATTTGTTCGGTAAACGGTACGCATGTTACCAAGCGATGACTATGATTCTGGCCCACGTCATTCGATCATCGATGTCTCGTCGAAGCACACTGCAACGCGGTTTTTTTCCCGCGGGATTTAGTCGAGAATAAAACGAGTTACTTACAAGCGACGACAGCGAACAGAGCGAGAACGAGAAGGCGGCGAGACATTGTTCGTCCTACACCTGCAATTTATTCTGTGACTACCTGATCGTTCCCGGAGCCTGTTTTTATACCTCTCGTTTTCATCCGAGGTTTACTTCCGCGATCTCACCGGTCGGAGATAAGGCGAATCAAATTATTTCGCAAATAACAGTCTGCAAAGAATTGAGAGAATGCCGCGCGTACACAAATTTCTAGATCGGGCACGGCCCGCGAGATAAATCACGTTTCTCGGTGAATATTTCAAATCGCGCGATGCTGTAAATTGTTGTTGCAGAACGCTCCCAAACGAACAATCTCTGTACACATGGCGCGTTTATAAATTAAAAGTTTATAAATTACGGCGAATCCGAGGGCTTCGGTCGATCTGAAAAATTTTACAAATCTGGACACCTGAGACGAGAACGAGCTTATTCATAGCACGCTTAAGCTTTTAATAATTAATTCGAGACAAGTTTTAGCGTCGTTTCGAAACTGTCGATGAAACGGCGGTGGGAAGCAGCGGATAAAACAACAATGTACACAGCGATTGAATTGTATATATTACATAAATTTAAATTGTATGTAATAAAGTACAATTATAGAAAAGAACGTGCGATTGCAATGTTATCTGAATAACGAATAACTGAAACAAATGAAGCGAATATTGAGGAACATGCAATAATTAATTTGTGATTTTAAATTAGGCCAATTGAGCAAAAATTTTAGTGATAATTTTTGCTTATTGTAAAATAGATTGTGTTCGAAATCTGGTGTTCGCGCAGTTTTATAGCTTGATTAATTGCACCGAGGCCAATTTTGATCGATTATATGGAGATACAATTAGCGAATTAATTATAACGATGGATATTGAATTATGTAGACAATTTGGAAGCTCCCCATCAACCGGACTTCCGAATAGCACAGCTCCAGAATCAATATAACGGGTGTTAACCGCATATTCCACTAACTATGATCGGAAATAATTTATTATTTATTGGCGCAAACATGCTTCGTTGAAAAATTAATGTCTCTCAAAACTTCGCCGAGCTTCCGCGAGCGAATACGCGATCTATCGACGGATCAGGGTGCTGCTAATTAAGCAGTATGATCGAAAGAGGTCGAGTGACAGGGAGAGAACGATCCCTTCGCATCCAAAGTCCTCATTTGTCTTCGATCGTTAGTCGCCGGCTTGCACGAGCTCGCCTACCGAACTTTCGATCGAATGTCGTCGAACTTTCGTGTCGGGGGCCCAAGGAGCCCCGGTCCCGCGTCGGACATTTAAATGCAAATACACTTTTTACTTATATTTATATGCAAATGGTCGTTCCCGTCGGCGGCTGGTCGAGAATGGGAGGGGAGGGGGGCAGAGAGGGATAGACATAGGGCGGCGACGCCGCGCGAATGAAAACGACGCGTTCCGGAGGCGAGAAAAGTGCCACTGGGTGCACGCGATGCGTCGCGTGCGTTTCCGCGATTTCGTTTCGCAATCCTCGCGAACGCCTGGAATTTTTTTTATCGGGCTACTTCGAGCTAGCATTATCTGGAATGTAAAGTAACACGTTCGCTCGTCGTCCGTTCTGCTGAAGTGCATCTTATCTGACACCAGTTGGTGCGTCTCCGTGGAGTCAGAATTTCTAAATGAAATCGCGAGCTTTTTATTTCAAATTTCACTTCATTTTTAATTCAAGATTTTGCAGTTCGTGCAGGAAGACTAGGTTATGAAGAATTATAATAGACAATTCTCGATCATTTTCACGAAACAGTGAGAGCACTCTACAAGGAACGATTTTTTAGAATTGGATACGGATTTGTAAAAAATGTTTCTTAAACGGCGACGTGGTTCGGGAGAAGAGCCAATTGTGCAGCAATATTTCGATTTCGTATTCTGAATATCGAATCTTTCGGAACTGGATAAGCGTTCCAAAAAACGTCGCACAATATCTTGTGGATCGTCTTAATAAAAATAATGCTTCGAGGTCCTTCGAGAAGGGTTGACGGATAGCGTCAGTGACTGCATTTTACAGGGAACAATCTATCAGAATTGGATATGGATTTCTGAAAAATGTTTCTTAAACGTCGACGTTGCTCGGGAGAAAAGCAATCGTGCAGCAATATTTCGATTTCGTATTCTGAATATCGAATCTTTCGGAACTGGATAAGCGTTCCAAAAAACGTCGCACAATATCTTGTGGATCGTCTTAATAAAAATAATGCTTCGAGGTCCTTCGAGAAGGGTTGACGGATAGCGTCAGTGACTGCATTTTACAGGGAACAATCTATCAGAATTGGATATGGATTTCTGAAAAATGTTTCTTAAACGTCGACGTTGCTCGGGAGAAAAGCAATCGTGCAGCAATATTTCGATTTCGTATTCTGAATATCGAATCTTTCGGAACTGGATACGCGTACCAAAAAATACGCGTCGCACAATATCTTGTGGATCGTCTTAATAAAAATAATGCTTCGAGGTCCCTCGAGAAGGGTTGACGGAGAGCGTCGTCGGTGATCACCGGCGTCTGTCGACGTTAACGTGGCCGTGACGCGAATAAAAGAGCGCCGGCTTGACGCAAAGTGTCTGGCAAAAAAGTTCGCGGAGCCCGATGGTATTCGTTGCAAGCACCGGCGTCGGCGGATGGCAAGGTTGTTTCGCCGGAGGGTGAACAATACGCTGTTCAGTTACGCGGCGACGTTTCTCTCCGGCGGAGAGATTGCGCGGATTCCCTTATCGTTCGGCCGGAGTCTGGGGATTTCATTCGTAGACAGTGCATCCTCTTTCCTCGCCGCATAACGACACGCTCGATCACGACTCGCAGTCGCGTATATATATGTATATAGTAGTCCGTTTATGTATCGTTATCGGGCATCTGGAGCTCCCTGCGCGGACGATCCTCGTCAGAGGGAGTATCGAGAAGGCGGATCGGAGAAGCGGACCCGATCGTCTTCCATATACTTTATCGTTTCTTCGATTCGTCCTGAATACCTCCTCTCTTCCCCACCCCTTCTCTCATCCTCTCTCGTTCTGTTTCTCTCCGCGCGGACAAACCCTGTCGGGCGAATAGATGCGAGAAGCATCTGGCACATCCTCTTATATCGAGAGCCTAACGACGACCGCTCTCGGCAGCCGATGCTAGATTGCATTTGTCTGTCTCGTTATTAGCGAACGGAGGGCTTATTTCAGAGAATGCTAGCCGGCAGACCGCTCGGAACCATTTTATTGTCGCCATTACCGGTTATTTCCTGTCGATCGGTTCGTTAGGATTCGGCGAGACGAGCAGGCGAAACGCGAACGTCGAAAACGCTGCGACGATCCGAGTGCATCGGCTCGGTGCACGTTGCAATTCACCGTGCTACCATGTGCTACCGTGTCTATTCTACGTCTCGAAGATTCGCGTAGGTTCTACGACTACAGAATCGTGGTCTGAAACTACTCTTTCCATCGATTAACCCGGTGCGATCTATTTGTCAGGCGCGCGCGCGCGCGCAGGGTCTTCGCAGAGGACATTCGAGAGAGACGATGAAGTCACCGAAGAAATTAACGGCATTAGCATAATAAATTGGTTAACCGAGTACGGCAACCTGGTGACATCAGTGCGCCTGAATCGAGAGGTGTGTAATGGAACCATTGAACAGCGTGCTTTTCGTTAGCCACGTTTCTAGACCGATCGGTTTTAATTAATTACTATGCATCGTAATCTTAATCTTTTTAATTGGATAACCTCGCGATTAATCGCACGACTGGAAACAAGAAATGATATATTCATGTATGTACATGTTCCGTTGATTTGAATGAAAATTTTTGCGAAATGCATTCATGAATTTCGCACTTTCTCGAATATTTATTGAGGTATTTCGCAAGCTGTCGACCAGGCCTGATCAGACATTCGAAATGGCATTATTAGAAATATTTTATATGGTAATTTTCATGTATGAGATATCCCTTCTGGAATTAACTTCTTTCAAATATGTTATCTTATAATTATTTGAAATAGTTACAAGATTAAATTTACTGTTTCTATCTGAATTTAACATTTTTGTGCTTTAAATGAATTTTTCTGAAGATCTCATCGAATCAAATCTGTTCGTTCATTGTTATCTCCAGCATCATTTCGTTTGGACAATTTGAAACAAGGAAACAACGAAATAATTTATCATTCGAAATCGCTTGATCTCAAACGGATCGATATCATTTTTATTTTCGGTCCGCAATAAATGATTTCAAGTCGTTATTTTTTACTTCGAATGAAATCTGCCCGGATCTGCTGTCGTCACTGTTCAGAGGTTAATAAATATAATTTTTAGCAAAAGCGAAGGCTCGAAGAAGGCAGTGGAGGAGCCGATCGATCTCGGAGATCAACGGCCGAGACATTTAAAATGTAGATGCACTCGTTCAAACACCTCGCCGATTTAATCGCCGTTTCTTCGGCGCTTCGCGTGTCGGCCCCTCTTTTTTTTCCACTCTCCGCCATTATCCCGACAAGGGTTCTCCTCTCCCACTGAAACCGTCGAGAGAAAGATAGCGAGAGAGAGAGAGAGAGAGAGAGAGAGAGAGAGAGAGAGAGAGAGAGAGAGGCAAGTCGATCTGTAATCCGAAAGTTGTCAGCCGCACATCGCGCTGCCCTAATGGAATTTGAATGTCGTTAGCCGAAGTAACCGGGCGTGAGGAAGGGACCTTATCCCTATTACCTCGTCGTCAGGGCACGGTCGCCGCCGCAGGTATCGCCCTTGAGGACCAGCCTTCGCCGAGACCTAGCTCGGGTTTATTGGAGCGCGAAAATCTGTCGGGTTCGACGATCGTTTTCTTTCGTCGCATTTAGCGGCTCGCCGTTTCGAGGATCAAGCAACCCACTTTGCCGATCCAAGACCGTCTATCTAACCTCCGAAAATGATTTTCTCGATCGCGATACACGTCTTATTTTCGGGTAAATTGCATCCGAGGGAGAAGAACGTTCCTTGCAACCAGTTAGCCGTTTATCAAGAGTATGCTAGTTGTGAAGAAAGTGACAAGATTTTGTGTTATCATTATTCTCGTCAAAAACAGTTCACTGATTGAGTGAACGGATAAAAAGGAGAATGAAGGAGAGAGGGAATAAATGTTAATAATAAATATACCGCGAATTTTTCTGCAATTTCTCATTTTCATGTCGTTTCACAGAAATTAGAGCTGAACGAAAGTTTCTTTCGTTGGCTAAAAGAATTCCTCGTTGTCGAAAGGAAATAGAAATGCTGTTAGACCTTGCTGATTTGTGATAAATGTGCAGAGACTCGCGGTCTAGTAATAAAATAAAAATAAAACAGTCATTTTATGACAACTGAAAATTCTATGTTATAACAGCTGCACATAAACTTTTCGAAGATATCGCGACAGGAAACTACTTAAAACTTTTGAGCCGCTGAAGCGAAGGTAAATAATTCTTGCGCAAAACTTATCTGTCTTCCTAATGTCAGACAGAGCCGATCGATCAAACTGTACAATGCTAATCATTTCGTATAGAACCACCGGAATGTAGTTTCGTATCGAGATTTCGGCTCGACGAGTTCGCGAAAAATGGCGGCAGACGAAGATACCGCACATGTACTCAGGAGAAGATTCCCGCAGTATTTCGCAGCATCTGCAGGTTCCGCTTGCCATCCTTTCTCTCTTCGCTATCACGAAACTGTAATTCGCCTAAATATTTTCTGTCGTGCGATTCGCACGATTCCCTTCACGCCAAATCCGCCGAGCTTCAGAAGCGAGCAACATGCATTACTTTATAAGAATTCCGAGACCTCCAAGACTTTATTAAAACCTCCCGCCATTTTTATTATAGCATATATATTATAAATAGCATTTTCGAATCGAAAGGTTTGTTCAACCTTTTCGCCACGAGAGAGTCTTCATAGTCTCGATCATTTCACAATAAAAAAATGCGAAGTCGGTCATTCTAGCACGGTAAATTCAGTGTTAAAACTCAGCCTGCTCGCTATCTTGCACCCTAAATCTCGATTCGTCTTCCATCAAGATCCACCGCGAACAGATCCTTTTTCCAATGACATAAAATTCCCATTTGTCAGCCTGCATGGGCGGATTTTCTCTGGGCTGCGGCATCGGCTGGAGCGCCCCGTGCGTGGAACTCTTATCAGAAAGCGGCGCATACAAACCGATCTCCATCTACGTGGTGGCATCGGTGTTCCCGTTGGGGGCGGCTTTAGGAGTGGTCCTGCTTCCCTTCGTGGTCGACAAGATCGGCCGGAAATGGACGATGATGTGTCTCGTGCCTCCTTTCATCATCGGCTGGATCTTGATCTCGTCCGGCATCGACATAATACCGTTGATGATAATCGGCAGATTACTGACCGGCGCCTGTGGCGGCATGACAACCGTCGTGGCGCCGATCTACACCGGGGAGATCGCTGAGAAAGAAATCAGAGGTAACATGCTCTCCTGGAACCTTTTGTCCGAATATCATCCCGAGTAATATGCGGACCAGGAACCTTGGGAGCCTTTTTCCAATTGTTTCTGGTGCTCGGGGTGCTGTACGCTTACTGCTGCGGCTACTCGAAGAACGTCGCTATTATATCCGTCCTGTGCGGCCTGCCGCCTATCATCTTCGCTATGCTGATGTTCCTGATGCCCGAGAGCCCGATGTACTTTACGGCGAAGGGCAACATCGAGGCCGCCAAGGAGTCCATGCGGTTCTTCAGGGGACCCGACTTCGACATCGCGCCCGAACTCGCGGCCTTCGCGGTTAGTCGAGAAGAAGCCGGGCTTGAAATGGTCCCGAAAGGGACTGCTTCGAACCGTGCATTTCTACAGGATGTCCCAAAAATGTCTTGCAATCCGAAAGTGACGGGTTCCTTAGATCATTTGAAGCAACTTCTTCCTTTACAAAAATTTTCTCCGGGGCACTGTTAACGAGTTATTAGCGAAAAACGGTGGCCAATGAGAGGCGAGCTCGGCTGGCGCGAGGCGATCGAGCCAATGAGCGGAACTAGGCTTCGTGCGCTGGTTGGCTGGGCCGCCTCGCGTCAGCCGTACTCGATTCTTATTGGTCACTGTTTTTCGTTAATAACTCGTTAACGGTGCCTCGGAGAAAATTTTTGTAAAGGAAAAAGTTGCTTCAAATGATCCGAGGAACCCGCCATTTCCGGATTGCGAGACATTTTTGGGACACCCTGTAGTGTAGATCATAGAAATACAGGGTTTTGTTTGAATGTCGGCAATTTTCGAGCGCTGATCGAAAGCTGCTATCAGAGCGTTCGGTATCACCGGACGAGAATTCTTTCGCTAGGAGGAGGTAGCTAGGACCAGAGACGTGAAGAAAACGACGCCGTTGACGCTGATGAAGCCGCCGATGTTGAAGACGATGTTGGTCTCGCTGGGGCTGATGTTCGCGCAGCAGTTCAGCGGAATCAACGCGATCATCTTCTACGGGGAAACGATCTTCAAGCAGACCGGCGTGGAGATGGACTCCCTGCTGCAGATGGTGATCTTCGCGGTGGTCCAAGTGACCTCCTGCGTCATCTCCGCCTCGCTGATCGATCAGGTTGTCGTATCGAGTCCGGCAACAGCCTTTCCGCTCTGAGCGCTGCGCTCGTTTACCAGCGATTTGCGGCCGCAGCTGTCGATACCGGAGCCGAGCCTAATATGGCTCTCGGGGTCCCTCGAGTCTCTCTCTCTCTCTCTCTCTCTCTCTCTGTCTCTCTCGAGCCTGCCAACGAGAGAACGCAGGCCTTGACTCCGGAGAGCCAGGGAGTCGCTTCGATCTCCGAGTGTCATCTAGCGCAGCGTCTTCAAAGAGGATCGAGCCGATACTCCGGAGAATAAAATGTGAACGTCGGTCGTTGCAGCTCGGACGAAAATTCCTGATGGCGTTGTCCGCGTTCGTGATGTGCCTGTGTCTGATAGCCCTTGGTATCTTCTTCATCGCGAAGACCTCCAGCCCTGAACTAGCCGAGAGCATGCACTGGCTACCGCTCGTGTCCGCTTGCGTGTACATCCTGGCGTTCTGCCTCGGCGCTGGTTAGTAGCCCGATTCTCTCACAGATTAAGCGCGTCAGACCATGCAACTTCCGAGATGAACAGGTCCCATTCCCTGGGCCTACTTGAGCGAGATCTTCCCGTCGAACGTGAAAGGGACGGCCGCGTCCACCGCTGCATGCTTCAACTGGATGCTGGCGTTCATAGTGACCATGTCCTTCTCGAGCGCCGTCGACGCACTCGGCACCGCCACCGTCCTCTTCTTCTTCGCCGCCGTATGCGCCTTCGGCGTCCTCTTCGTCCTGCTCTGCATGGTCGAGACCAAGGGCAAGACCTTCGAGGAAATACAGAGGGCCTTCGGCACCGTACAGGGTTAACCAGGCGGTATCGCGACGATCTGCGTACAATAACAGCACTTCTCTGTGTATAATCTTTTACCGATTACGCTTTTAGTATGCCGCCGGTGCTCGTTGATTTAACACTGAGCTTACGACCCACCGAAAGCAGCCGTTTTGTATTTGTGAAAGTAACGATTAGACGTTTAGTAAAAGTTTTATTCGAAAGATCTGTTCGTGGTATTGTTCTTCGAAGAAAATTTTGTTCGAAGAATTTATTTGAAGTGTTTGACGAATGAAATTCTATTCGAAGAGTTTATTCGAAATGTTGGAGGAATGAAATTCTATTCGAAGAATTTATTCGAATTATTTGACGAATAAAATTCTATTCGAAGAATTTACTCGAAATGTTTGAGGAATGAAATTTTTTCTATTCGAAGAATTTATTCGAAATATTTCACGAATAAAATTCTACTCGAAGAATTTACTCAAAATAATTCACGAATAAAATTCTATTCGACGAATTTATTCGAAATATTTCGCGAATAAAATTCTACTCGAAGAATTTAATCGAATTATTTCACGAATAAAATTCTACTCGATGAATTTATTCGAAATATTTCACGAATAAAATTCTACTCGAAGAATTTAATCGAAATATTTCACGAATAAAATTCTATTCGATGAATTTATTCGAATAATTCAATTCCGACGATTTTGCAACTGTTGTTATATAACAGTCTCCATTGTGAAGATGTCCACATGCTTATGGACCGGAGTGAAAAGTCTAAATACGTTTAGTCTTGTCCTCGTTCCGTAGGAAAGAAACTGATAGCAGGATCTCGCTGCTCGAGATCTCCCTTCCAGCTCGACCATGATCGCCGGAGATCGAGAAAACCAGAGAGCGCGCGATCATTCTTTCCGGTAAACTTGAACTCGAGGATCGAGGACAATGCGTTTCCACGGTGCCACAGCTCTCGCCCTTGGAGCCGGCTCGAGCAACAATGCCCGGTGTGCGCACAGGCCCCGCCTGAGCTTAGCGAAAAATCGCCGAGATCAATCCGCGGCGACGAGTGTTATTTGCGGCCGAAGCCGAGCGAGAAACGCGTCTTTCATCGGCGGTCGGGCCCGGATCGATTGGGGAGCAACGACAGATGACTGATCGGTCGTCTCGATGACAGCTTCTCGGTCGAGTGGAAAGCGAGGTAGAAAGTTTTTCGCGCGGAAACTCGTTAGAAAGCGTGTCCATCGTGGTCCCAGAAAGAACGTCCGGAGGAGACGTCGAATTTGTTATCGGGTTTTACGAGACTTCCTTCCAGTCACGGCCGACTGGTTCC